CCCCAAAACCCCAAAACCCCAAAACCCCAGTATAGTAGGAATGATTAGAATATTTATCTTATGGTTATTAATTAACAATATATTAATAAAGATGTTTAAGTAATTAACAAGACTTTAAGCAGCTAAAACTAAACTTTCAGGGCTTAATTCCTCTACTCTTCCTCGCTAAATCAATGTAATTCAATTTCTAGTAAGCTATAATTCTATTAGTAAGTTCTGTTGAGACCTGTTTTCTCAGTACAGTCAAAAGCTTTTTCTTAAATGAGAAGTCAACCAGCTATTGACTTCAGATCACTGCATCAATAAAATATTGAAGTAGAAAATATAAATGCGGCCAATGGTATTCATTTGAAAATTATATATTTTAGACTAAATAAAGACCAAGATTGATGTTTCAAAATTAGTACAAGACTATGATGTCGACCTAAATGAATTAATTATTTCCAAATCTATTGACGCAACTGAGCAGCATCGAAACAGATAGCATCCCACTGAAGCTTTAATTCATGAAAGAGAAGAACTTGATTATTCTAAATTGATGGGAGCCAAAGATCTTTTACTTTTGAATCTTCCAAGAGACATAACAACTGATAAAGTAAAACAAATGTGCTCAGTAAAGAATGTAATTGTGGAAAATGTGAAATTGCTAAGAGGTTTAGATTCAGAATCTATTTTTGGAGCTATTGTGACCGTCCATTTTTAGACTCAACTTAAGCCACTTATAGAGAGTCTCCATAATCATTGGATTATAGACAAAAAAGTTAAAGTTAGAACTCGTGATTAACTTAGCTATGAAACCTACAATGATAGAACATTAATGATTTCAAATATTCCTCCAAGTTATAAGGAAGATGATATCATTGAAATCTTCAATAGATATGGTGTGGTTGTTAGAGTAGAAATGCTTTTGAAAGATACAGAAATAGAATAAGCCTTGAAACATAAGAAGCAAAATGATCAATTTACCATTCAAAGATAGGAAGAAATCAAAAGAGAAATGAACAGAGCTCATAAACTAGTAAAGGAAAGCATTGAGACCGAGGAGGAATTTTAAGCATATTTGGAATCTAATCTTGGGAAAGAAGAAGCTAAAACACTCCTTAGTAATTTCAGTGATTCTAAATTAGCCAATGACAGAGATAAATAATTAGAGGTTTTAGACACTTAAAGAAAGATAAGTATCTAGAAAATGTTAGCTTAACTTTAAACAGAATCATTCGATGTTAAATACTCGAGAGAGCATCTTCAAAAACTTCTTGATGATCTTAACAATGTGCCAAGTTTACAAACCTCAGAATAGACAGAGAGTTTCGTGCCTTAGCAAGAAAATGAAAGAGAATTATTAGTAAAAACTCTTAAGTACGTAAACTAAAATAGAGAAAACGTTTCAAATGAATTATTAGCAAAATTGTCTGATAGAGTTGATCTAGCTAAATTCAATGAAAATCAAGATCCGATTCTTTAACTTCATTAGCTTTCAAGAGAACACTTGGCTGAGGCATATGATAATCTGATCTTTATTTTACAATAGAGGGAAGAGCTAATTTCTAAGAGAATTAAATCTCAACTCACTCATCTTGATATTAAAGAAAGAGTTCTTTTTGATAACAGAGATTATTCAAGAGAATAAGAAATAGTTAAGCCATTCGAATACCCCTTTGGAAAAGAAATATCACCAGAAGATGTAATCAGTGTGAATGATTAGATTCAGATGGTGCTTGCTCGAAGGGATTTATCAGCTGAACAAAGACTTGAATTAGTCATGAGTGGAGTGTACAGCTTCCATAGAAAAGCAAACTGGGATTAAAAGCATATGGATCTTGGTTAAACCTAAAAATTAAATGAGTACAGAATGTATCCTTTCGTCCACCCAAACCTGACATAAACAATGGCTAGAATATTCTTTGAAGGAGCTCCATTGAAACAAGATGTTCAATAATAGGTAGATTTGCTAATTGAATAGAGATAAGATGAATACGAGATTCCATTTGATGAGCTCTACCATAAGGAGAAAAAGTTGATTGATTAAGTTGTAAAAGCATACCAAGCTTTAGAAGAAAAATAAGCAACTTTACCAAGTCCCCTTGGACCATAGAGAATTATTGAGCCTACTGATGTATCAGAGGAGCTTCTTGCAGAAAAAGGATTCGCAATCTAATCATAATTTGAAAGAGATCAAAGAAGAGAAAGTAAATTATACTTCAATAGTTCTTAACTTTTATAGATGATAAACTATTGAGAAAAGGACTTGATTCGAATGAATCTAATACTCATCCTGGATATTTTGTAGATAATTCAGATATGCTCTTAAAGATGGTAGAGGAGGGAAAAATCACAAGAGAGGATTATGAGAAATTCAAAGTAGCCAGATAGATTTCAAATCAAGAGAATTTGGGTTACGCTTTCGTCACTTATTCTAATGGAGTATTAAATATAATACATTTAAAATACCTTATAGGATGAGGCTAAAATTGCAGCCTACACTTCCAATGGCATGGTTATTGAGAATAGAGTTATTGATATCTCACCTAAGGGTGGATTAGAGCACAGGGATTTAGACAAATCATTCGTGATAAATCAAATGAAAAATGATTCAAAACTCTCAAGTGAGTATGAAACCTTAAGAGATGTAAAGAAGTAATTGAGAGATTTCGAAAAAGAACTTGACAAGGAAATGGTAAGCTTAATGATGCCTTTAATCATTTTCGTAGCCAAAACTAAAGAGAATCGAAAAATTCAAGCAGCTAGCTAGAGATCTGATAGAAAATGATCCTAAGGAGTCAAGGAAAAATATTGGAAGGAACTAAAAACAAGAAGATATAGTGAATGATAAAATAAGGCAGCTTTAAAAGGAAAACCCAGATATCGACTTTACTTAACTCTTTGATACTGAGAGAGCTGAACTTGTTAGAAAGAATCAACATAAGAAAGCATTTGCATCTTATAAAGCCTATCAATTCCTAAAGCATGGAGTTGAATTGAGTGGCAAGAAACAACAAGAGGAAAAAGTTCCCCCAAGAAAAACTTAAGATGCACATGAATTCCCTCCAATTCAAGATACCTTGGCTAAATTCTTGACAAAGAACAAGTATATAGATGTGATTGATAGAGGAGAGAGATTAGAGAATCCAGGAAGAAAGTTTGATTACAATGAAAAAGATTTCCTTTAAGCTTATTTCGGCAAGGATTACGCTAGATAAAGAACTATTGATATTGATAAGGAACACCAATCATTTGGCTATAATAAAACTTTGAAAGAAAAGTTTCCAATGGAAAAATACTTCAAACTTCCAGTATATGAATAAAAAAGATAAAAGATGCTTGAATAAATGGGCATTGATCCATATAATAAAATGAGTAGTGATAAATATTTAGACATGGAAAGAGCTAAATAAAATTACTCAGAAAGTTTGGATGATTATATAGACCATGATCATCCAACAGACAAGAATAGAAGTTTCTTTGAGGACTTAGGTTAAAAGATGCAAAATGCTATAAATAAACCAGGAAATTAAATCGCAATTGATAAGAATTTAAAAGTTTTCAATGATAAAGATTACAGATTGATCAGAAAGCAACTTAGAGAAGAGTACTTCCCAAAACAATTTTAACAGGCTATTGCTTCTCAAAAAAGATAAGCTATTAGAGCAGCAGTTGAAGAAGAGAAGGCTAAAGATACTAAAACATCCGAGAAGTTCGAGCCTCATTATTAGGGAGATAACCCAGAATAAAAGACTGTTCAAATCTTTACAGTTAAATATTCTTAGTAATTAGAAAATGATGAGATCAACTTTCAAGATCCTTAAATTCAAATTGCTAACAAAAATTAAAAAGATTCACCAACAACATAAGTAGAGAGTGAAGGAAGTTTGTTAAACTCAGTCTATGGAGGTCTTACTGAGCCTGTTTAGAGAATACAAAGTGATTTGCTCTAAAATGATAAAGAGAAGTTGAGACTAAACAGAAACTTTGTTTATGAGCTCAAGGATGCAGAATAGAGTGGAAGCCTTCATCAATTAAAGGATAGAGAAATCTAATAACTAATAGAAAAGGCAGAGGCTTATGGTATGACTTTTAGTGAATACTTAGACGCAATTAAGGGTGGCAAAATTATCTCTGAAGAAATGAACTAATACTCAAAAGATTAATATGAAAGAGAGTAATTAGGAATTACTAGGAATGATTATGATGTGGCATCTAGACAAAGATCATCCAAGAACCTCTCATCTTTTGCTAGAGATTCAGAAAGTGAGAGAGAAGAGGAAGATGTCTATAGACATTACATTAATAAGATGAATTAGGAAAAGGAAAGCAGACATCATTAAGATAAAGATAAACAAAGATAAGCTGAAAATCTGTCATAAAAATAACAAGAACTTCTTAACTCTATGTTCCCAGAGCTTCCCAGATTTGAAGGTTTCTTCAACAGTATGAGCTCCGATCAGCATCCATTTGAAGATGATAAATATAAAATGCCTGAGAATTTTGATGAGGAAGATAAGCAAAGAGACGCCGAAGTAGAAAATGATCAAGCCCTCTATCTTAGAGAACTCTAAGGAAGACTCCTTGGAGAAAAATTGACACCCAGATAGTTCTCTGTTCTATTTAACACAGAAGGTGATGAAAGTAAGATATTTATTTTTTTCCTAACATTCTCATCTTAGAACTAAACATCCTCTTTAATAAAGGAATCGATAGATCAACCTTCTTAGATCTCCGTAAACGAGCTGAATTAATGAGAGAAGTATCAGAAAGTTACAAGAGAAGAATGATTCATTAAGGAGAATGGACAGAGGAAAATGCAGATTAAAAATTGCTAGAATAGATCAAAAAAGTTTAGGATTAATCAAAATTAAAAACAAATAAAAGGCAGTCCAATGAAGATTTAGCTGAAAAACTTGAAAAGCTCTAAGCAATTCTGACTTCAAAACAAGTCTTAGAAAAAGAGTACTACTTTGATGAGGGATTAGGTGAAAGTGTTAATGATCACATTTAAAGAATATAAGCAGAGCTTCCCGATATTGAGGTTTCAGTAAGAAGAGATAATGATGGCTATCCACTTATTAAAACTCTTTACAGACCTAAATACAAATACGACATCGATAGAATCTTATCATTTGATGCCGAAAAAGAACATTAAAACATGAAAGAATCAGCAGAAGTAATCTTAAGTGCAATTATGCCCTTTGGACAAGATGCTCTAAAGGATCCATCTAAACTCACTAAGGAATAATTACAAAATAGCATTAAATTCTTAATGCCATATAACTCTGGAGAAGAAGAACTCTACGATATTGATAATGTCACTCAAAAAAGAATACAAGGTTTAGTTGAAGAAAGAATGCATGGCAAATATAAGAATGATAATGAAGGATTCGCCTAGGCATTTATATAACTTAATGAGACAGCTACTTATGATAAGACAAAGAAGTTAACTGCTGTTAATAGAATTAATCCTTAATTGTCAAATGAGGATTAATATAAAATGCTAAGAGAACTTGATTAAGATTCTGAGTAGATGTAGCGAGAGGTTGCAGCTCAAGTACTTTAAAGAGTGAGAGAATTCATGTTTTTAAAGGAAAGAAAATAAACAGATTTTGTTGTAGGCAGAAGAAGTGAATAATCATTATTCTCAGAGCAAGTTAATAGTCTAGAACATTCAGCTGATCAATTGGAATATAAAGCAGGTCAAATGAATCATGACGAACCAGCGTTTGACAAAGAAGCTTATAGACAAATCAAGGCTGAAATCAAGAAGAGAAGAGAAGCAAAAGAAAGACTATTGTAGCAAGGATTCCCTGAATTAAAACCATACCTTAATTTTTGAAATAATTTGAGGAATTTAATTGAACGATAGACAATCACCTATTTAATTTAAATTATGACTTTCAAAATTAATCAATCTTAAGATATTCGGCTTTCCGGGGTTTTGGGGTTTTGGGGTTTTGGGGTTTTGGGGAATCCTT